TTTTATTCCTTTGTAAAATGGACACTGTCGATTTTCTTTGAAACCTGAGAATCTCATAATTTGTTATAGACATCATAGGATTTTAATAATATTAATCACTAATTTAATGGAAGAGTTACGATCTGATCTTTAATTCGAAACCAAAAACGCTGAAAGCAATCAATCAGAAACGCATATATAGAAAAGTATCTAAATTTGGTTCGCGGATAACGGTTAATGTCAGCTGGTCTCATAAGCATATATGAGGAACAAGTAACAATCATGTCGAATTAGTTCGCGTGTAGAACGCGTTGCCTGGCAACTACTTTAAACCAGAAGTTAACATGTATGTGAGTCTCATAACCTTCAGTTTTGCTTGGGCAGACACATAAACATGACAAGTGCGAAGATGCACAGCAAACTGGTTTGTTATGAGGAGCGTCTGCCTAGCATACCTTGCAATTACGGCGGCTCGCCTAGTCTCAAGTGCAGTAAATGTGCACTACCCCGTCTCACCGAGCAGTAAGAGTCTGCATGATCGAGCTAGACGGCGGCTCGCCTAGTCTCAAGTGCAGTAAATGTGCACTACCCCGTCTCACCGAGCAGTAAGAGTCTGCATGATCGAGCTAGACGGCGGCTCGCCTAGTCTCAAGTGCAGTAAATGTGCACTACCCCGTCTCACCGAGCAGTAAGAGTCTGCATGATCCAGCTAGACGGCGGCTCGCCTAGTCTCAAGTACAGTAAATGTGCACTACCCCGTCTCACCGAGCAGTAAGAGTCTGCATGATCCAGCTAGACGGCGGCTCGCCTAGTCTCAAGTGCAGTAAATGTGCACTACCCCGTCTCACCGAGCAGTAAGAGTCAGCATGATCGAGCTAGACGGCGGCTCGCCTAGTCTCAAGTACAGTAAATGTGCACTACCCCGTCTCACCGAGCAGTAAGAGTCTGCATGATCGAGCTAGACGACTAGTAAATGTGTCCAGGAACGTTAGACATTGTAATTGAACTTTTAGCTAAGATTTCATTAACAACTTTAAAAGCAACTACCCTGTATAGTACGCGGTGCACATTTCAATCGAACATGAGCACGTTTGAGTCAAAAGATATAAAAAAATCAATGACTTGATAAAGACACGCATCTCAATAGAAGATAAATAGGTGCGAGTATTCAAGTCTTAATGGAATTCCTGAGACGGTGCCTACCAAGCCCAAGTCGAATAGACAGGAAGTGGGCAATCTGGGCAATTTACGTCCCTTAGAGGTTTGTTCGGGCACCCATACTGATGTTTGTTATCTAATCACGCTCATACTTAATCCAATGCTCTCTAGGCCTTCCCACTAACTCGCAGAGATGGAGCGTGAAAGATCTAGCAAATGTGCGCGGTGAATGACTTCTTGCCAGGATATGGGTATAGTGTGCGATACATATGTTGTCTAAAAGCCTTCTTAGCAGAATTCGTAGCATAAAACAGAATTATAGCAGAATTTATAACATGTGACAGATTGTTAGCCGAATTTGTTACATAAAATAGAATTATTGCAGAATTTATAACATGTGACAGAATTGTTAAATTTTCATTTACACAATAAGAATTCATGATCGAGCTCACGTAAATGATATATTAGATCCAGTTTGAAAAAAAATTGTTCACGTAAATTTATTTACTGGAAAGTTAGGTGAAGTTTTGAAACAATCCATTTACAAAAACACGAAAAAGGTTTGTACAAATCTTTCATTTTGTTGGAAGAAAACCGAAATAAAAATAAAAATGAATAAAATGAAAAATGAATCGCAAGAAATTACAAACCACATTTCGGAATTATCAAAGAAACCATGAAAAATTGTATCGGTATGGGCTTCATACTAGTGCTTTGACGTTAAAAAGACAAAAAGTTTAGAGACTATTTAGAGGCGCAACGTAACGTTAAAATATATAATATATAATAGCGGTTTCAGCGTTTATTTGGCCGTAGGCTCTGCGCCAATCGTGCTACTCAGCCTACTGCTCTGAACTGTAACCATTGGGCCACCCTGCCTTTGTCATTTAAAATTTAAAAGACTTTATCAGCATTTAAAAAAAAGTTAAAATACTTTTATCATTTAAAATTTAAAAGACTTTATCAGCATATGTATGTCTCCTTGCGATTTCAGGAATTGTTAAGTCTCACATGCCACTAATCTTATCTCGTGGCAACTTAGTATGTGAGGTCTGTTCACACTATCAGTTTTGTTATAGTTATGCCGGTTTGAGAATTTATTTTTAGAACAATCCGCGAGCATTACTATGCGTGGAACGCATCTGTACTGAGATGCATGCCGCCAGAACTATATTGTCACTCCATTTGATTAATATCACTAATTGTAAACTATAATGCCAGTATGGGCAAAGGAGATTTGTTTTAATTTAGTTCATAACTAGTTTTTACAACACTTCTCTTTAACTTCACTTCTTGTTTGTCTGTCTGCTACAAATCTTTTAATCGATATTTAGCACACTTCTACCTCTCCAATCGATCTGAAATTTTGCAGATTTGCATAAAATAGGAGACAATGTATGAATCAATTGACAAAGAAAATATAATTTAAAAAATTGGAATTTTTTCAATATTAGAAAAATTGAAAAAATAATTTCGTCAAGGACAAATCTTATAATCGATATTTAACACACTTCTACCTGTCCAATCGATCTGAAATTTTGAACCCTTGCGTGATTCAATCGACAGAAGAAGTAATTTTGAAATTTTCTTTTATGTATTAAAAATTGATTTTTTAATATTCGAAAATAAAATTAGAAAGTCATTGTACACGTGTAACATTTGAGACGCTGGATTCTTTAGAAGTGTTGTCTTTAAAAATTAATTGTAAACTTATATTATTTTAATTTAGAATCGGGTTTAAAACAAAGTCGGCGCTTCAGTTGCAAGTGAGCGGATCGCGTTGCAGCCTGCAGATGCCGAGGTGTGGGTTACGTTCGCACGACATCGTTCACTGAGTTGATACACGTCTGCTGTTGCGTAACATAGCTGTTCAAAAGCAACATATATGATAGTAACATAGCTGTTCGCATGCAACATATATGATCGTAATATAGCTGTTCACATGTAACATATATGATCGTAACATAGCTGTTCAAATGCAACATATATGATCGTAACTTAGCTGTTCACATGCAACATACATGAGCGTAACATAGCTGTTCATACGCAACATATATGATCGTAACATAGCTGTTCACAAGCAACATATATGACCGTAACATAGCTGTTCACATACAACATATATGATCGTAACATAGCTGTTCACATGCAACATATATGATAGTAACATAGCTGTTCACATGCAACATAGATGATCGTAACATAGCTGTTCACACGCAACATATATGATCGTAACATAGCTCTTCACATGCAACATATATCCTGATATATGATCGTAACATAGCTGTTCGCATGCAACATAGATGATCGTAACATAGCTGTTCACATGCAACATATATGATAGTAACATAGCTGTTCGCATGCAACATATATGATCATAAAATAGCTGTTCTCACGCAACATATATGATCGTAACTTAGCTGTTGTATGATGAACTTAGGGGACGTTCTATGGGCTGTTTACCTATTTAGTGCGACGCCAAATGACAAATTTAATTTATTTATTTATGAACTATGATATATTACCATTAATAACACGAAATAGTGTTTAAAGAGTTATTTTTAGAGAAGTTTCGACCGTTGCCGATTTCAAAATATTTACAGTTAATATTTCAAAACTTACGGTTGAAATAAATGTTGCTTAACCAAACGGTTACTTCGACTGGTTTTGATAAAAAATTTCGCAACTTGAAGCCGCGGGGTTCGAACCCCGCAATCAGTCTAGTTTGTTAAGTTATCAATTTGCTAAAGTCGGACCTGCTTGCTAAGAAAATTATATTGTACAAAAATAGTTGAAGCTGCAGTATTAAAACTAAACAATGAAAGTTTTTTGTTTTAAGACTGAAATGATCATAATAGCGTTGTATTAAGATCGGATCAGTCAATATTAGTTCAACATCTAGTACCGAATGCTATCTAAAAAGTATCGACGCTTCTATGTTTGTGAATGTGTTCTTTCAACGCTACATTCAGGCTGTGAATATATTCTATTTGAACACTCCAATATGAAATTACAGTGTAGCAATAATTAGCATACTGCTCTCAACATTGAATTCGGGCAGCTCTACAAACGAAAGTACGAAACATTGCTAATTCCGCATCAATAGATTGACTGCAGCCAAAAAGATGTAACTTTTGCGTTTCTTCCTGAATCAGATAAGGAATTACTGACTATTCAAGCAGAAACTAAATAGATGTATTGTCCGGCACCGTGGGAAACCTTGGTCAGGGCGGATCGAGGCCGAATCGGCACCTCTCCGAACTTGCCTGCGGACTCGGTTAGATATGCACAATGAGAATCTAGTAATTACTCTTAATTAATTTCACACATGAAGATTGTTTATAAATTGCTGCTCTGAATGAATAAAATGGAATCAAAATTGGTGCAGAAAATGCCATGAACTGAAAAAAACAGTCCATTAAATTTTTTTAATTAGTTACTAAACTAACTACTAATTAAGCTGAATCTGAATTTGTGTAAATGCATCTGGACACTGAGTACAATACTTGAGGAATATACAATATACATACAAATTTACATGCATAAACCATCGAAAGTTTCTAAGGAAAAATTACACTTAGATAACTCAAATTTACTTTAGCCAATTGAATTGGCCTAACAAAGTATAAATTCTAATTTGAAGAAGCGCATAAATGTTTTATGGTACATAAATGATGAACGATACAAATTATTCTTAACAAGTTTATTGAAATTGTTCGTTGAGAAAATTGTTTTATGCATGAATGGTTCAAATTTGATGTCTAACAGCATTAGGAATTTAAAGTATCTGATACTTTAAAAATAATACGTCACACACTAAGGTATAGAATTTCAGTATTTCAGAAAGTTTATAGTTCCAACTTTGTTTACTATTAGAACAGCTGAAAGTTTCGCACATTCCAGTAAAATTTTAGTGTTGTGACTTGTGGTTGGGAATAGTCAAGTAAACTATGCTGCAGCTCTCTTCAATTTAGATAATTCATCCTGAAATAATGTTAGTGGGATGCCGTCAACCGTGACTGCCTCTCGTAGGCACAGCGAGAGTAGCGACGACCAATTGAACAATGAAGAGTGTCCTTCACAAATACCAATTGATGATTCGCGCGCTTTGGATAGCGACACCTGCTATACAACTAGTTGTGGCCGCAATTCTTCTGATGCATCATCTGCAAACAGTTCTTCATTTTCTACTCCTGAACACTCAACAAGGCTGGAGAAATTTGATGAAAGAGAAAACTGTAACGAGCTCTCTTCACAGTCAACAAATTTTTCACAAGACAATGCAGAAGAGAGCACATTCTTGTTTTTTAAATTCAAAAGAAAAAATAGATTGATAGCTTACCAATTTCTCAAGAAATTACGCATACATCTAATAATGTGGCTCAAGTTTGTATTATCTGCTCTTCTAGTCCTTGCCACCATACAATTTAGGTAAGTACCTACTCAAGTCAGTCAAGTGTAACTTTTGAGTTGACAATATAAGTATTATTATCATATTATGTAATTATTAACTAACATGAATTATTGATTCATAATACAAGTGTGATCTTGCTAAATAGAGCTTTTTAAGCATATCAAAAATCAATGGTATTTTTGGATTTTGGTTACCTAATGGAAAAGAAAATGATTTTTTGAAATGTTGTATTGTCAAACAGGGTAATAAGGGACACTGGGCTGGGACCAGGATGGAATTCTAATTTTGTAGGTTCATATATTATTTCGATCCACCAAGACCACTTTTTCTATCCAACATTGTTATTTGAGGCAAAAAATGAACTTCTTAAAGGCATAAAATACATAGGCTAACTTGCTCAGTTTCTATAAAGTACCTAACCACTTGGAAGTTTTATGCCTGCACCTTTCACTCAATAATTAAACTTAGACTTATATAAAGTATTAGTTAGTTAAAAGTTTGTCTCTTAAGTTGACTGCAATGAACTAAACTTCATTATGTAATCATTAGGCAGGGATTTCCATCATGCGACACTAAACACGCAATTCAGAGTTCAGACGATCAGAACTACATCACATGTAAGCTATCGTGATACTGAATTGAATACCCAGCGGGATGATTCCCGCTAGGTATTCAATCTAGCGGGATGATCAATGAACTAACATTGATCATCCAGAGTCGAACAATCGCTCATAACAGAGTCGAACTAATCACTCGTATACTAAGTGCAAGAGAATGAATAATTATGTTGTTTCTAATCAAATGAACAAAACCTTTTTCTCTTTCTGATCTAACGAACGAAAACAAATTTTTGAAGATAATTCAGAAATATGGCAACACGGGATTGGATTTCAAACCACGCGCGATTTCGGAAGAGCGGCAGGCAGTTTCCAATGAGCTCAGTTTATATGATTTCACTGCAGTGGAAGGTGAGGTGGTGTAACGCGGTGGTAGGGTTGATTTTTCGATACGTTTTCATATATTAACATGAGAATATATTAACTATACAGAATTCCACACTGGCTGGGACAGTTCTCTAACATTTTGTAGAAATGTTTTACCTAGCAGCTAAGCAGCTAAACTAATTAAAATATTGCAAAACAAAATAATAGCGGCATAAAGTTACACATTTTTCCTATCTATGTTATAGCATAAAGCCAGGGTGCAGAGGGTGGATGCAGCATTGCCATTTGCCAATATATGGGTTTTTAAGCCCTAAGCATCGCCGGGTAATTTTAAGATGCGTCGCCGGGTAATTTTTAATGAAAAGTCATTTACACTGAGTAATGAGAAACTATTTACAAGCCATGAACTTATTTACAAGGTTGCATGCAGGTGTTACCCCAAATAACTAATTTTATGCTATAAACAGTCCGATTGTACAGCAAGTGTTAACTGAACATGTGATAATGCAGTCTGACTGCTCTAATGTGACCGCAAGTCCGCAACTACGTAATCGTAAACTTGATGTTTAGATTTTTTGGCAGGAACTCATTGCAACTGATTTCCAGACAAGCTTCACTGCATCCTGATCCATCCAACATACCGGAAACCTTACTTTTTTTTAAATGGTTGGCCAAAGACTGACAAATATATTAAATGCAAGAATTTCAATCTAAATGTGTCAGCAAGATCTTCTGAAGGCGTAAATTTTGCTACAGAAGCATTGCCAAAGATCTTGCAATATTCATCCACTCTCTGTACGGTGGGCACAAAGCAAGTTAAGAAATCACACGTTTACTATCTCTAAAAATACTTGAAAAAAAGTGTGAAAAGTGAGATTTTGGAAAAGTACCTTTGCTAAGGTCTGTAGCAGTAAAAATATTCATTGTATTAAAAAAATTTTCTTGCATAAAAGTTGCACACAGGTGTTGGCTTAAAAATATGATTGATGGAATAAGCATATCTCATTCCAGAAAAAAAATGGCAGCCATTACTGCATGATGTTAGTTAGTAGGGTTACTGCAGTTAGTAGGGACACCCACCTGGGGTAATAAGGACATCTCTAAAAATGCATTTACAGTAAAGCCTTTGTTAGCAAAGGCTCCAGTTAACAAAAAAAATCAATCAACAACGTATAATTTTGATTAGATTTACCTTGCTTAGCATAAAAATTCCACTTGACAAAAAATTAGTGCATCATCGGTCATTGCCAAACTGTGCATAGAATGTCATAGATAGAATTGTTCATGGGGCAACATAGAATGAAAAGTAATTAACCTAAACTATGATTTTTTTTTCTCAAAAAATAAGATGGTTGTCACTAAAATAATTCTTTTGTGTTTCAGGTATGTTTTTACAATCTTTTATGTTATAGTGAATTCACTTGATTCAATTAAAATGGTGCAAAATTACAAGCTGTCCTGGAAGCTTACCTATGGAAGAAATGCTACATGGCTGCTGATATGGAACTTGCAGTGCACAAGGTTGTTGTCAATGTTCAGTGGCATGTCCATGGATTAGGTAATATCACATCAATAATAAGGTAATGTATGGATAAGGTAATGTCATATCAATAAAGGAAAAACGAGTAAAAATCACAGAAAATTTCATTTATTCTACATTTACATCATCTACAGAAGAAGAGGGGGACTTCAGAGTGCTGTTAGTAATGGATGAGCATACTCTGCATGCTTCAAATGTTTTAAAATTGAGTTTTATTTCAAGTGTCCCTTATTCCGTTCCCAGGGTTGGTTCAGGAGGCTTTTATTTTGCATCTGGCATCTTACGAATAGCATATGGAAATTTTCAGAGATGCCATACAATAGCCCTTGCAAATAGTACCTTTAAAATGAGTCCAAACTCATTTATATGAAATGTTTCATGCTAAGAAGTTATTGAGGACAAATGCTCAAAACTGTCTGTCCCTTATTACCCTGTTTGATGGTAGGTGCAAAGCTACGCTTATTCAAGTATTTGAGTACATATTTGATTTGTGGCTCTATCTTGGCCTTGAGTTATATTAATATTAGTATTGCAGTTAAATTATCTAGCAGAAAAACCAATTTATGAAAACTAGATCTAGGTGCTGTTGTTCAATGTCGAATATTTTGGAAGTTTGTAATCATTAAAAATCTTGGATGTGAAATGCTAATTGCTAATGTTAGTAGTAATATTAATAACATTTACTTATCAAACTGCAACTGGTTTGTTCAAAACCATGAGTTTTTAGTTTAACTGTAAAATATTAGTCTAAGCTTTAGAATCAATTTTCAAGCTGAAATCTCATTTGACTAGGTGCACAGTGCAGATACATATTAGGCCAAATTTATTGCCAAATTATATATTTTACCAGTTGTAGAAAGGATAGGTTCAAAGCAAAATCTTTGAAAGCCTTTAATTTGTGTGTTTATTATAACAAAATTGTTTGGAAATTCGTCTCCATCTGCTACAAAAGTTTGGCAAGTGAAGCATTATAGTTAATGTTATTGAAAATTTCCAATTATTTCTAAATATGAAATGCATACAGGAGTGAGGTTTAGTAAATGTCTCAATAAATTTCTTTGATTTTTCTAATTGGGTTAGGTCAAAGAAAGGAAAATTTCTGCTAATACTTAGCTGTGAGACCGGGCTGAAATTCTTAGATAGTGTGTAAACTTTGTTATTTTTGGAAAAAATGGTAAAATAGTAACAAACCAGATATTTTTTAGAATAAGTTCATTTTCAATTTCCTTATTTAGTCAAAATTTAAACCTATTTCTTTTCCTTATATATGATAGGGCTGGTATCCATGATAATGTACTTGTCTACTTATAGGACTCAAAAATGAACTTGTGGAAGAGTCTAAAAAACTCTCTGCTTTGCCACTGTGCCTGGTGAATACATGCCCCTTTTCAGCTCTGATTGGTTGAGATGTCATCCTCTCTAAACTGTGATTGGTTGGTAGGATTGTGATGTCATCCTCTCCAGACTGTGATTGGTTGTGGGATTTTGATTTCATCTTTTCCAGACTGTTATTGGTTGTGTGATGGCCTTTCCAATATGCTAGGTGTTTAAGTTAATTTACTACCCTCTAGATTTAGGCACTGTGTGGGGTTAGTGTTGAAAATAGCTACCGGAGGCTTTCAGGTGGCTTTTCACCGTATTGCATCTGGCATAAATCATAGCCTGGATTTTTAGTTTGTCAATAATTCAGTCTTGAGAAAGTTTTAGGCCACAAGTGCCTTTTAAGGAGTGCAAGTCCATTTTCCAAGCATTTGCAAGAAAAAAGTTTTGAGCTGCTAACATATATGGCACATTATGTCAAATCTCTAACTTTTTCCTAAATAAGGCAACAATAACAAATTGCTTTGAAGGCAATTGAGCACATGATATTTTGTTGTCCATGATACACTATACTGGTAGTTCATTTTTGCTATACAAATACTGCTTTAGCAACCTTTTTTGAGGTCAAGTCAGGCTATAATGCATAGGTCCTGTCTAATGAAGTAATAAGGGATGGTTTTGACGATTTTTTTGTTAATAACTGCTTACTACAAAGCATTTTAATAACAAGTTTAAGCTCATTTTAAAGGCATTTTTGAGGGCTACAGGGTCATCAATATTTAGCGTTACAACTTTGAGTGGTTAGAACTATGAAATGAAACACAATTGTGAATGTTTGAAAAATGTATTTATGTAGGCAGAGGTTCAGAGATACAATTCCCACAATTTCATTCAATATGTCCACCATCTGCATCAATAACGAGCTGTAGGCGCTTAGAGAAAGCCTTACACAAGCCAAGAATGACACTCTGCGGGATTTTGGCCCACTCCTTCAGCAGTTTGACCTCTAGGGTGTCCAAACTGCTATGGTGAACGGTAGAGACCTTGCTCTCAAGGTATGACTGGATCCCAAAATCCAGAGGATTCAGATCAGGTGACAATGGGGGCCATTCATCTTTGCTAATGAAGTGGGGAACATTCTTGGACAGCCACTCCTGAGTCGATTTGGCCCCATTGGATGGTGCAGAGTCCTGCTGGAACGACCAGGGGTGTTTTTTGAAGTGCTTTCGTGCCCAGGGCAACAATGCACCAACAAGGATGGCATCTCGATAGTTCTTCTGATTCAATTTCACCCCTATGTCAAAAAAAAAAAGAGGGGACTCGTTGAGGACTGTTACTGCGGCCCAGACCATCACTGAGGTTGGGCATTGCTTCCTAGTCACCACACAGGATACTTCATCCCATTCTTTGACCAAATTCGATCATTTTGGGAGTTGAAGTGGTATTCAACATTGAATATCTTCTCATCACTGAAAATAAGGTTTGGCAACATGTCATCATGAATGCAGGAAAGAAGAATCTTCAATCTGTCAACAATTTGAGCAGACAGTTGGTGTTTTTTGACATGCTTGAATGGGGGACAACTTTAGGTCCTTCCGGAGAACAGTCGACATGGTTCCATATGACACATTTGACTGTTTTGCCAGGGTATTGATTTAAAAAAAACAATGTAACGCTAAATATTGATGACCCTGTATTGTATAGCATTTCCATGAAAATTCTATATGCTGTTCGTAAGGTGCCAAATGCAAAATATAAGCGTCCCTAATTACCCCTGGGAACTGGGTAATTAGGGACTCTTAAATGAAACCTACCGTCAACCGAGGCTACTCAGGACTGGCGGGGCTACTCGGGACAGTCCTCCAACACGGCGTAAAACTGTTATAGTAGCAAAACTAATCGGAATATTGCAAAACTAAATATAGTGGCGTAAACGTCAACATTTTTCCTATCTATGTTGTATAAAGGAAGTTGAAAAATACTACATTTACTAGCTTTGAAAAATTCCTGAAAAAATAGTGAAAAACGCTATTTTGAAAAGTTGCTTCTGCTAAGGTCTGTAGCAAAAAAAGTATTTGCCGTATTAAAAAATTTTACTTACATAAAAGATGCACCCAGGTGTTGGCTTGAAAACGTAATTGACAGAATTGCCCTATCTCATTCAAAAAAAAAAATGGCGGCCATTTCCGCATGGCGGGGCTACTCGGGACACCCCCCTGGGGCTATTCGGGACACCCCCAAAAACGCAGTTACAGTAGAACCTCAGCAAAGGCTCCAGTTAAGAAAAAAATTGATTAAAAACAAAGAATATTTATTACATTTACCTCGCTCAGCAAAAAAATTTTACTTATCGAAAAATTAGTGCATCATAGGTCATCACAAAATTGTGCATGGAATGTCATTTATAGAATTGTGCACGAGGCATCATAGAATGAAAAGTAATTGACCTAAACTATGATTTATTTCTCCAAAATATATGATGGTTGTCACTAAAACATTTATTTCTGTTTCAGGTATGTTTTTCACGATTTTTTTTATAGTAAGTTCACTTAACATAATTAAAACAGTGTGAAATTACAAGCCGTCCTGTAAGCTTACAGATGCAGAAAAAATGCTATAGGGCTGCTGATATGAAGCTTGCAGTGGGCAAGGTTGTTGTAAATGCTCAATGGCATGTTCATGGATGTGGTAATATTGCATCAATAATACGATAATGTCACATCAATCATATGGTAATTAATATATATGGTAATATCATATCAATAAAGGAAAAACGAGTAAAAATCACAGAAAATGTCATTTATTCTACCTCTACATCATCTACAATGAAAGAGGAGGACTTCAGAGTACTGTTAGTAATGGATGAGTAAGCTCTGCATGCTTCAAATGTTTTAAAATGAAGTTTTATTCCAAGTGTCCCAAGTAGGCTACTCGGGACACTCTTTTTTTTGCTTCTGGCACCTTACGAATAGCATATGGAATTTTTTTGACAATGCCATTCAAGAGCCCTCACAAAAAGCTATAAAATGAGCCTAAACTTGTTTATGAAATGTTTCATCGTAGGAAGTCATTAACAGTTATTAACAAAAAATGCTCAAAACTGTCCCGAGTAACCCCGGTTGACGGTAATTTTAAAACGATTAAGTCCTCTTCTTCCTTTGTAGAAAATGTAAATGTAGAATAAGTGACTTTTTTTGTGATTTTTACTTGTTTTTCCTTTATTGATATAAAATTACCATATCCATGGACATGCCATAAGCCATTGAGCATTGACAACAACCTTGTTTACATCAAGCTTCAAATCAGCTGTCGTATAGCAATTCTTCTGTTCTACTGTAAATGCGTCTTTAGGGGTGTCTCTTATTACCCCAGAGGTGTGTCCTTTATTGCCCCATCTTGTGGAAATGGCTCCCATTTTTGGGGAGGATGAGCTACACAAATTGCTTCAGTCATGTTTTTAAGCCAACACCTGTGTGCAACTTTTATGAAAGTAAAAATTTTTAATATACAGCAAATATATATATATTTTTTGCTACGGATCAGCAGAAGTACTCTCACAAAATCTCACTTTTCACACTTTTTTTCAGTGATTTTTTAGAGGTAGTAAATGTATGATTTCTTAATTTGCTATATGCTACATATATAGGAAAAATGTTCAACTTTATGCCACTATTTTTAGTTTTGCAATATTTCAATAAGTAAGTTGCCACAACAGTTGTACAAAATGACAGAAGACTGACCCAATTGGTACCCCATTTAACAGTACTGCTGCTGTGCTGGGTTTTTATCAAATTGGGAACAGGTTCTGACTTGGACCCTCCCATATATATATTACCTACTATATAAGTAAGCTTATATTATCAAACGGGGTAATAAGGGACTGGCGGGATAAATGGAGACAGTCCCCCATTGTGGCATAAAATATTATAGCAGCAAAATTAATTGAAATGTTGCAAAACTAAAAATAGTAGCGTAAACTTCAACATTTATCCTATCTATGTAGCATAAAGAAAGTTAAGAAATCATACATTTACTGTACTAGCTCTAAAAATTCCCTGAAAAAATGTTAGAAATGATATTTTGGAAAAATGCTTCTGCTAAGGTCTGTTTGCCATAATAAAAACCTTAAAAACCGTGATAAAAATATATGCCATAATAAAAAATTTTGCTAAAAAAAACTTGCAGACTGGTGTTGGCTTTAAAATTGTATTGCCAGATTTGCGTACCTCTCTCCATTTTTTTTTGTTAAAGTGAATTAATTCACCTGACCCAATTAAAATGATGCAAAATTACATACCCAGTCCTGTAACCTTATGGAGGACATGCTATTGGGTACTAGTACAGGGGCTGGACAAGATAAGGGAAACACCTGATATTTTAATGTAGTAATTGTTTTACATAGTAATATTGAAATTGTTATAAATAATGATAACTCAATATATTTTCATTTTTTATATTATATTGTTTCTGCACAGATACCATGTTTTTAGTAAATTATTTGTCTATGACCTAACCTATAACCTGTAACTGGCAATTCTCCCTGACTTTCAAAGAGGCCAAATTGTTGGTGCCCATATGGCATTTGCTAGTGTAACAGAAACTTCCCAAATGCTTGACATTTCTTGGAGTACTGTCTCAAAAAGTATGACTGCTTTTGAAAGAGAAAGAAAAACATTCGCGGCACAGCACAAGTCTGGCCAAAGTTGAAGTTGTCTGAGACAGACTGTTGGCATCTGTTGCTGTACTTACTGAAGACCTCAATGGACACCTTCAGAACCCAATTTTCCTAATGACTGTCTGCCAAGAGCTGCACAGATCTGAATTCTTTGGAAGAGCTGCAATTATAAATCCTCTGGTTGCAAATGCTAATACTTCAAAACACTTAAGAGTGGTGTAAAAATCTCTAGAATTGGTCCCTCAATCAGTGGAAAAATTCATTTTTTTGTACACTTCCTCTTTTACTTTATTTCCAGCCTCTTGCCGAGTTTATGTTTGAAGACAGCCAAAGAGTCATTTAATCCCAAATGCCTTCTCCCAACCATAAAGCATGGCAGGGGATCTGTAATGATCTGGTGTGCTATTTCTTGGAAGTTGGTGGACCAAGTATTTCTCTTCATGGGAGGATAAGCAGCCATGACTAATTAGGAATTTCAGAGGATCACGTTCATACAATGGTTCAAGCACTGTTTCCAGAGGGGAATACCATCTTTCAAGATGACAATGGCCAGATCCATATGGATGAAATTGTTGAAAATTTGGCACAAGGAACTTTCTAATGAAGTTGATTATCACCATTGGTCACCACAATCACCTGACCTGAAATATTATTGAGCATATACGGTCAACTTTAGAGATGTAAGTCAGAAGTGAATTTCTGCTGCAATCACCTTTAAAAGAGCTGAAGGGAGTTTTTACTGACGAATGGATTAAAATTCTTTTGGAAAAAATTCACAATTTATATTAATCAACTCCTTGGAGAGTCCAGGCTGTAATTGCCACAAAAGGTGGACCTACACCATACTAAAATATATTTTTTGGATTTCTCAGGCATTTTCTTATTTTGGTGTAACTCCTGTATTTAAGTAGGAGAGTCCTTCATTGTTATTGATTACGTACTATGCAAATTGTGTCAAATTAAGGTGTAAATGTCTATTTGAACAATGGAAATGTAAACTTTTAATGCATTATTTGCAGTTTCCCTCAGTCTCCTCATCAAGTGGTGCCCCATCCATTCTTTCCATCACACACTCTGGTCAAGGATTTCTACCAGGGTGACCTTCAGCTGCTGGCAGAGCATCTCCAGTACTCTGACTTGGCTCTTGTGATGTACTACGCTCCATGGGATCGTGAAAGTCAGCTTGCTAGGACGCAGTTTGCTCATGCTGCTCGCATTCTTCACAATCAGGTTTGGCCTAGTTAGAAAATATTTACGATACTTTCCAAAAATATACTATTCTAGTATTCTGACTATTCATCTAAAATGTTGCATTCATGAAATGGAGAAGCTAAGTAATGCTATTAGGAACACCCTTCCAAATCAAAATGAAAATTTCTGTTGAAGGCTCTGTCTTGGCAAATAGTTCCAATAATATTAATATATAATATAATACATATGTATTAATAATATTATTATTATTCCTTAAATTAAATTGTATCTAAATAATCATACATATATTATAATTTTACTTTGAGTGTTCAATTAAAATTGCACTCATATTATTGTAAATATGCATGTATATGTTACTGTACTAAACTACCTTATTTGATTATCAAAGGCAACATTTGAGAAAATATCCAATGTGGGATTTTTTTCAGGTTGTGTTCTGTGCAATAAACTGCTGGCAGCCAGACAGCTTTTGCCGTCTGAACCACAAAGTAACCAGCTTCCCAGCTATTGTGTTACATGTCAACACTGGAGCCCTAAAAGGTACCTTGTATAATAAAAAATTTTAGTGCCTAAAACCTGCTCTTTCCTGTATTCTCCCATGACTTCCATGCTATTTGGTTAAATAGTAGGTACCTACCTTGCATTCTCTTAAGCTGACGCTAAGAACTTCTTTTCATTTTATTCCTATATCTTTTAGGTATAAAAGAAGAATTAGTGGACTTACAATGAGTAATATTTAAAAAAATGAAAAGGTTTGAGATGGGGGCTATATGCATTCCTTTGTAAGGTAATGCATAACTCAAGATTCAAGACTTCAATTCCCTTCGTCATTACTTGCTATTCGACATTCCAGGACTAAATTTCCTAGAGAACTTTGTCAGTAGAAAAGTTTGTGAACAGAATCTGCTTCCATAAGGTTGAACTAACTTTCCTATCTTTTTACAACTTGGCAGGTTCTATTCTGCGAGAGAGCCGTGCCTTTCCCTATAATGGCCCTATTGTCTCTGAACATTTAGTGAGATTTCTTACGGCGGCATTAAGGCCTTACCAACATGTACCTGACCGCAAGCATCTTGCAAGTCTTCAGCTTACTCATTCAGTAAGTTATCAAGTAGCCATTTCTTTTCAGGGCAAATAATTTCCTGAAATAGTAATAAATCTGGTGTGTGATACATCGAACATCTTATTTTAATGGCAAACTTAAAGAATAAAGAAGAATAAAGAAGAATTAAAGCTGAAAATATCAAAGTGCTACTGCTGCATACATTGGTTATGTTAAAATCAGCTATAGTGTAATATAATATTATTTTTGAGGCCGTGATGCTGACGTACATTCACGGAATCTATGACACTGAGTATCTGGGGTCTGATGATGCGGCCACATATCGCGCGGAGCAGCAATTTGCGTTTTGGTATCGAGCATCACTGCACTGGCTGGATTATGACAAGCGAGCTGAGGTAAGCCATCTTGATGCTATTTTATGTTATCAGCTCAATACATTTCCTCAGAGCTATATTACATAGTATTTCCTGGATTTAGCAAGCTTCACTGGAATTGATACTGATAAGAAATCCTGTTTAAATATTGCTATGCATTACATTCTTTACTTAATAACATCCTTCTACTTAAGATTTGTCTTCACTAATAATATTAATATTTTATGATAACTCATTAATTCTTCAAATTTCAACGTTTCTGTATCAATTGTGAATGATCCTATATATTGTGGATGTGCTCAGGTGACCTGGGCTGTGATCACGACCCCTAAGCTTGCAGGCGAGCTCGGCATCATCAACTCCTCAGCATCTGAGGACGTGAGGCCCACGTCTGGCTTGCCTCCCATTCGAATGTTGATGGCTGATGTCAACTATGTGAGTCACTCTCACCTCTCACTCTTCAGTGACTCTCACCTCTCACTCTAGTCACTCTCATCTCTCACTCTCCAGTGTCACTCTCACCTCTCACTCTCCAGTCACTCTCATCTCTCACTCTCCAGTCGCTCACTCATAACATTTGAGGTCACTTATTCTCTGGATATTTGTTTCACTTTGCTCCTTATATTCACTATTTAAGGCGTCAGTTATTTAAAAAGCTTTATGAATTTCTATAAAATGTTAAGTGAAGAAATTAGAGTCAGCCTGGACGGATTTGAATGAGCAAAGTAATCAATTTAACCATTCTTATATTAATTATATTGTTCTCACAATTGCAGGAATTTAATGGTACATTGAAGAACTCAAGGGAGCCAAAACCTCTTCTAGAGTGGGTGATGAGCCAGCTGCTAGGCACTGCTGGCTGGCTGGAGGTGTCCGGCGCAAAGAGCTCCGTGTTGAACGCATTCTTGCACCGTGGACCTTCGCTGCTAGTCTTCACTCCTGATTATCCTCAACAAACTCACAATTCCTATTTCGATGTTGTCAGTAATATTTTGTCCTTTATCACGTCTGATTTCCGTTGCATAGTTTTATCTATCCTACAACTGAGAGAAGTTCAACTTCATCACTGATATATTTTTAGAATGCCCATGAATTTTTCTTGCTGTTTAGGTGTATATAACTTCTTTTTGAAATTGTGTAATACTATTACTTAATATTGTTTCGGAAGCACGAAACACCATCTTAAACTAACAACCAGCAAATAAACCAGGTGCGTGGGCTGTGGCTTCAGTACAGCACTTGTGCGCCTGTGAATGTGTCGGTTCAAGACACTCGGGCAGGCAGAATGGCTAGGTTCTTATTGGACAGTGCGACGCGACACTCCGCTAACCTCGCCATTGCCAGGGCTGATTGTACTCGTCATAGCAGCTTCTACACTTACGGTGAGGATTGGTTGGGTGAAAAGAAATCGTCTCTTAAAGATAAGGAAATTATTTCACCTGGAAGGATTTATTCTCTTCCTCACACTTTTTAAGGTCTGGTGTAAGATGTTTTATCTTCTTCCAGCTTGCTGCCCTCTTTCTTGCCTCGCATACGTCTTTCTTGTCAGTTTGAAGTCAAGACAATCTTTTCTCAACAGTGTCTTCTTTCTACAGAACTCTTTCTACTCTTGTGAATCACTCTTTTCTTTCTGTGCTGCAGGTTTGGGCGACACTCTAGCAACCGAAGTTGCATCGTCCGCTGCTTGCTCTACTCTCGACAGCCCTGATACGTCCAGCGTGCAGTCTGATCACTGTCAAAACGGCCACTTCACGTGCCATCCTTTCATGCCCTTCTTCGTGAAGTGAGTTTAACAATTAACAGCGGTGGTCTGTGGGCATGTCTTGAAAGTGTATGATGTTTTTCACATTAACACTTGTATGAATTATCTTCTTCAATGTATGAATTATCTTCTTGAATGAAATATATATCTAACAATTTCTAATTTTTTATTTCCATCATGCTGAAACTTACACAGTTTAAGCAGCTTATAGCGGTAAGTTGGTTCTACACCGCTATAAGCTAAGTCAAACGCGATGAGAGATTTAGAAGAAAAACTAAAGAGAAAAACTAGAGACGCGTGTTTGGAGAGTGTATTTAAGTGTATGTATCCGTGAGTTGCACCTGTAGAATGAATACAATACATATAGAATACAATACATATTAAGATGAATACATATTAACAATACACATTAAGATGAAGTCAATATTAGGTACAATCAATATACAAGGAAATATTACAAGTTTGAGGAACAATCTAGGAGCTATTTAAGAGCTTACCCCAAACGTTGGAGGACAAGGCAGTAGTGAGGTTACAGTTAACTGAACTTACGAAGAAAGAAAAAGTCAATTTAGAAGTAGTTCGGATGTTTACGTAAAGATTGATTTTATTGGAAAATTTGAAGATTTAACTACTTACAACTAAGATTAACATTGGATGTCCCTACAAGCTATTCATTCTCGTCTTAAATTTCATCTTTCAATTGAGGTCAATAATTCTTGAACGTAGGTATTATTGAAAATTCAAATACATCTATCAAAAAGCTTTAGGCTCGTGTATAATTTTGGAGGCTAACTATTTTATTTCCATTGGAACGTATATTTAGTATATCTTTGCTAATGCTGGGCGCCCTATTATAATACTGAATATTGCGCTCAAATCTGATCCTGATTGTATTATCTGACCGCAGGCCTGGCAGTGGAGGCGTTGGTGAGCTTGTGTGGTCGCTGGTGGGTGATGCTTGTCAATCTCTATTCGGGTTCAATGCCCCTACTTCAAAACACGCTCCACCGCCATGCTCATCCAGCTCCCTGCGCCCCTCCAACACCTCAAACCCTACTACCTCTCCGCCCCTCGTATCGCCATCGCTATTTGTGAGCAATTGAATAGAAATAAAAGCTTCTGTGTTGCTGTATTCAAGCGGTTTTTGCTTACATCCAAGTGGGATGGGATATCAATATTCAATATTTTCCTACGTGAAGTTCAAGTCAATTCTTCTGATCATACAATTTCTCCCCTAAATATAAGTTTGCAACTGAAGAACTTTTAGACATGAAGATGGTAAAGTTTCCTTTCATTTTAGCATAGTACGTATTATGTTCAAATAATAGTGGATAATTTTGTGTCTTGTGATATAGTGTGTAACTTGGAGGATGTTGTCAGTATCATCCACCTATTTTAAGCAAATAACTATTTTATTATCATTAATTTGTGGGAACTTTTTTTTTGTTGAATCTTTTATGCGAAGCTTTCTATATTTCATATATATTTAACTTTCAATTATAAGTGCCTGCTTTATGTTGCTATTTCCAAGTGATATCATCTGAACAATTTCTTGTACCGTGCAGCAACGGTCAGAGGGCGGCGTGGTGGACGAGCGCGTGCAGGAGCTGCAGCAGTGGCAGCAGGAGGAGGCATGCAGGCGCCTCAGGACCTCTCACCACCACGAACCTCAGGCAGACGCAGCACCACATGCCGCTACCCTCGGCGTCTTCGCCGGTATCTTGTGTTCTAGTTATTATCTAATTACTTGTGAGCAGAAGTAAATGCTTTTGGCGCTATAATGTTACACATTATCGTTAGGTTTCATGGTACCATTGTTATTTGTTAAGGTTATTCATAATTCCGTTTACATGTCCAGTTTTTGCATGAATTTCTATCTAGTCTGTTATTATTTAATTATTTCCCTATCCTACTTGACCTAATGCCTCTTCTGCAGTAATTATACGAAGATTGTTAACTTTCAACTCTTCAATGATTGCTAATTTGATTCCTCAATCATCCACGCTTATACCAGAATCAAAGACTTGACTAAACTTTACCATCATTATGAAACTGGAAGCAACACTTGTTATGCTTGTAATTGTAAAATGTTGTTCATTAACTGGAAACAAAATATTGAAAATGTTTCCACACTCTTATCAAAATGAATCACAGAAATATTTCAGCATAACACTTTTCCACGTAATAATTTGTCCTCTTCGTACCGTCTTGCTGACATCCGTTCACCCGCAGGTCACGCGTGCATCAGCAACAGGACGCTCAAGTTCGGTGTTATAGACTCGAAGCTGCACGCTGACATGGCGGTCCGCTGGGGCCTTAACAAGACAACGACTCGGCAGGTGATTTGTTGGACTACTTACAAGTTATGGGAAAATAGGTTCTCTAAATTCAACTAGCTTCTTTACATAGCTTCGAAATCTCCACAAACTCTTCGCCATTCCAGAAGAATTAACGTGTGTAAAATAATCGTTAACTTCAAAAAAGCCTTGCTGTTTGAAAATTGGTTCATTGAGCGCATCTCACTCATTCTTATTGTTATTCTCTAAGAATTTTTATTGGGTATATCACTATATCTTGTCTTGAACAAATTTTATTTTCTAATAATAGTCTGTATTATCTATTTTTTTGTGAAGAAGAATGGCGCAGTGCTGGTTGATCTTGAGCGAGAGACTCACTATGTGCTGGACGCCGACTTATCTGCAGCTTCTCTCGCGGCCTTCGTCGCTAACTTCACTCAGGGACTGTTGGACAGGTGAATTGGTCAGAAAAGCCGAATGGAAAATTTAATTGTACCTAATGGTACACTTGTTTACAAAAAAAACTGAATTTCCATTACTAAGAATTATATATTACCATATAATTATCTTAGAATTCTGATTACTGTATATTTGTTACTGTATATTTGTTAATGCGTGTCAACACTGAATTGAAAATAAACATTTGTTCCGAATTTTTTATTGGGCTCATTGGTTGTAGTAATGCTCGTGAATTATTGTGCCTTACTTTAGCGAACGATTTGTTGAGGGCGCGTCCTGAACGAGATTCCAATTAACATCGACGCATTGCCACTAACTTTGGTCGATGGCAATACAGCTTACAGTCAATACATAGTCTTAAAGTCAAATACATAGGTAGTCTGCTTCTTTAACTCCCCGGATTCCACTCCCTATGCGCAACGCAAGCAACCTATGTTATAATTCCGTTAATTATATGTTGATACTGTTTATTGTTAACGCATTAATAAGGTAATTCATCACATTGGTGACAAATTCTTGAAATAGGTATGCTGTGAGCTATATTGCTTCCAAAAGTTTCCTGTGTGTATTTCATTCTCTTGAAAATAAATGGCACAGTTGTAGTGAGATTCTCCATCCCGTCTGTAAACAGGTTAATATTGTCGCCAATTGAGCTGACCTAATATTTCAGAGTCGAGCTCACCCGACCTCCGGTAAGCCACTACCGTAGCGACTACTCAGATGACTTCGCTCCTGTTGCTGTGTCAGTGGAGCAGTCGGTGTTGTCGTCACTGCGGCGGTACGGCCGTAGTTCCTCTTCTGGTAACATTGATGATGAAAACGAGAGTGAATTGTCGCTTGATGGCAAACTGCAAGGCTCCGTTGTATTGGATGCAAGCGTGAACACAGCATCTAAACGTTCGACGGCCGGAACAACGGCCGATAGTGGGACACGTGTGCTCGAAAAACAAGATGATTCAATTGTTGAAGAAGAAGAGAGCGGGAATGGAGCAGAAGCATACAAAGAATGGACAGAAGCTTCGTCGAAAAGCATGAGAAATGACAGTGGAGGCCACGGTCAAGAAGTTTCCATACGCGAGCTCACGTCTGACACTTACTTGAACTTCACACATACGCCTGGCAAAGTGAGGAAGATAATCATTACTTTGGTAGAAAATAATAATTTATATTTTCTTCCACTAACAGTATTTTCTAAATTACCTGTTACATTAGGCAAATTAATTTCAGATTTTTTTTGTAGGATTTAAATTCAAAGTAAAAATTTTCATCATTAACTGTAAAACTTGATACTTCTGAGGGCAATTCTGATTTTTTTAGTTTTTTTTTTTTGTTCTCTCATGGTTATGCAACTTTCTGTTTTGCAGGGAGTGTTGGTACTCCACTACAGCCGCAGCTGCGCCTTTTGCACATCAGTCTCTCACGTCCTCCTGACCGTGGCGACGCACTTCGCTGATCTAGCCCTGCAGGCAGGATATATAATTTATTATACATAACACAGCGCTAGATGTTGACGCTTGATTGGTAATCCTGAATGCTCTGATGCAAAATTCATAGCCCCTAAAACTACTAAAATTATTACTTATCACTCGACCACCTGGAAAATTTCCAGGAAAGCCTACGCCAGTTGCATCATTGTGAGTTCCACTAATTTGAGTTTAATTACATTCATGTGGCAATGATTCCAGATGAATCTCTCTGAAATTATATTGATAACATGGCTGTGAACCAGACTATTTCTTCTACTAGTCCTTACACGTTTCTCTGTTGGGTTCAACTTTGCCACAGTTCTTATATCTATTTTTGTACTTAAACCGTGGAAAATAATCTCAATCTCACTAATCTGTGTATTTATGACAATTTATTCTCTTCTTCACCATATTAACGTCATAAATTAGGAGTAATGAACTCTGTTTTTCTCAGACGAAGGAAAGCAAGTGGAAAGGGATTAGCTTCGCTCGTATAGACATGTCGTCTAACACATTACCGTGGCACCTCAACTTCGATCTACTGCCCACTTTTATCTATTACCCTCCATTCACGTAAGTTTGTGAGCAAAAATTGTACGCAACTTGACAATTTTGCAATCAATCGCATTCTATTGAAAAACTTTTCAGCTCGCCAAATTGGTCCTGAATTAATTTTCATTGTTGAGAAGAATGACATTCTACCTGTGAACTTGTACTAAAGACTAGTATTCATGAGAACGCCGGTATTCTGTGACTGAATGTATTCGTGTAACATACAGTAGTAGCCTAATTATTGCACAAATCTATATTTTTCGCTGTTCTTGCCAGCTTATCAAATACGGTTATCTATTTGTATTTGAATCCAGTTTGATGTAAGATTTTTCAGACCAGTTTAACAAAAATACCCTGTAATATCTATCCACTTTATTACTGTACTCAATTGCTTCATGACGCGTTCAGCAAAAGCAGCTCGCGTGTGCTGGACGCCCGCGTGCCGCTGACGGTTGGTAACCTCATGCGCTTTGTAGCAACGCAGCTCAGCCCACGTCTGCGTACCAGGTCATTAGCCCTAAGTTATCTACATTAATTGATAATATCAATACCGAAATCTGATTTAATACATTTGTTCTTACATCCATCATGACTAGTATTTTCAATCTGAACAATACCATGAATAATTGGTGCTTTATTATTCTGTATAGAGCTTATAGGAAAAGGTAACTGCTTATCGTAGTTTGATCGCAGCGTTTTGATAGTGTGTATGTTCCACAACTCGTGTTAGAAGTGTTTGCTTGGGTAAAGTTCGTGATTAATTTTATAATATGATCCCATTGCGGTGTCTCCTTGTTTTTTTCAGGCTTGCATTGACCGGCTGCTCGTCGTCGTGTTACGAAGCCATCGAATCTCAAGTTCCCTTTTTGAAGTCTCATCTAAAGAATCGACTGCGCAAGGTGTCGGCTCGCTTGCTACGGGTCACTGAAGCCTTGACTCGTGCCCAGTTAGACGCAAGCCTAGAGGAAAATATACCAGGAATGTCATCATGGGATGCCCCAAATCCCATAAATTCTCCTCTTAATTCCGTTGTTGGCGAATATGGAAGTGAAAATACATTAGAGGAAGAATTGCATCAGGTACCAGTTCAAAGCGAGAATCTTAATGCAGCTCAAGCCTCAACGCCCCTCAATCGCTTGGAGATGCTGTACCTGACTAGAGCTGCTCTCACGGACGAGCTCACATCACTCAGGTCGCGCGCCCAGTACCTCGATATCTTGCACAAGTCGCTGGAGCAGCGCACTCTTGGAGATGGGAGCACAGATACACCATGGTTTTTCTGGGCCTCATTGCCGCTAACGTCCTGACGGCATATAGTCATTGGACATCATCGAGTGCAAACCACACTCAGTTCATCATAACGCTATGCCAATGCTGATATTTTTAGCGTTACCTACATTCGAGTGGTAATGGATGCTTAGTTTTCCTTACTGGGAGATACAAAGCCGTCCTTGCCCAATATTTCCAATAGCTCATTTGGACAGTTTCCCTAATAGAGATCCATTACGAGTCTGTGATTGAACTTACGGTTTCTGGCTTGATGCCCGTAAATTTCTCTTCTTTGTTTTGACTGAAAATCTTCTGAGTGAAGCTGCCACAAATCATTGTGCAGTTGTATGGAGCACGAAATATATACTGACATACCTCTAGATATTTTTTCTGATTCGGATGCTGCTTCTTCTTGCTATCGGCGGCTGAAGGATCAACAATCAATTTATGTTGGAAAAAATATTTTTTGTTTCTTTTATATTCTTCAGTTTTCGTTGTCAATGGGTGTTTTTAGACAACGGAAATTACTCGTCTTAGGCTGATTAATAATGGTAATCTTGAGCAAATTGAAAGATGTTATATTTTGAGAACCAATGTTCGTCAAACTATTCATTTGTGGCGTAGTTTTTGTCCGAATTGCTGAATCTAAACAATCGTAGTCGGTTAACCGCTTGCTAATTGTCAAATCGATAGTGCCTAAGCGGTGAGTGTCACCGCGCTTCTTACGTCCAATAAATTCAAATTCGGTTTGATTCAAATGAATATTTGCCTCTGACTATTTTCTTCTGTTTGAACATTTGATTGTGTGCTGGGTGAATCTTCCTCTACTATGATTTAATATGCATGAAAAGCTACGAAGTAATCGCATCAAGTTTCACAAGAATTGTCGAAAACAGCACAGTGCTGCAGTAGGAATATATGGTACTCCAGAGATAAGTTACTTGGTGCTACATTTTTCAGTATCATGTATTCATATTTTTGAGTTATATTTATTATCCATTCAGTAGTGGACATTTATAGATATTATTTATCACTTGCACTCATTTATGATAACGGTACACGCGTAGTAACCTCTCTGCCGCTTTCTTGAAACATCTCCGAAACCTTCTACCGTGGCGTTTTAATAATGTAGTCTTAGCTTCTTGGTTTTGTCAGCTTTGAATTCGCTGATACATATTTTTGCAACTTATTCGTGTTCAAGTTATCGTTAGCAAGAAGCTCGTGTCGAACTTTTCGTTGCTATGTTGCCAATTGCTATCCTCAAACCAGCTTTTTCGGGAATATTTCGGCATCATTAACCGTCATCTAACAGCAGAATTCTCCCGCGCCGTCGATTAAAATCTTCATAATGATCAGCCGATTTTATTATTAATAGAAGTTACAGGATTTAAACTACAATCTTGTGAAATATTGCTTAATAATTTTAGTTGCATCCACTGTTTTAGCAACTTTTGTCATGTTTGAAATGCTCAAGAATTCGGGGAATTGAACACTATTTTCATGCTCTAAAAATGAGCTGTGGTAGCGTGCTACTGTCAGCAGAAGAATCCTGAACCTTACAGTAGCGATAAACTGTACAGTTTGCGTCGGAGTAATTCTTTTCTGTATCCTTATACATCCTCAAACTTCATGGGTATCTACTAAGTATTTATTCGTAGAGGAAATGATGTTTATGATTGTTAAGTAATCGGCGACATACGTCATGTCCTTCGATGTAGTGGAGTGAGTTTTATATTTTCTTAGTCGTTTATTGTTGAAGAAAATTTATGATTTTTATTTTGTTTTTGCGTGATAAACTGTGATACGCACCGTCAATATAAAGCCTGAAGTCGTAGCAGCCTTCTTACCCTTGCTTGTTACAGTGCAGCGGAAACGAAATGTCGAGGTCTGGCGATCTTGGTACGTATCTATATAGCCAGTGAAAACAAGTAGAAGCGAGGAATCTAATGGCAACAGCGAGCATGGATGCACATCGCGTTGGCATTCACTTTACGGCCAATAAAGGACCGTTTTTCTCATTACTGGACATATTCACGTGCAGCATAGCAGTCTTTATTGGTTTAAAGTTCATGGAAATTGCTGAGTACGCTGTTCCTTTGTTTTGTGTCTTCGACTTCATGTAACCCACTCAAATGATAGAGTTAATACTATATGCACGTTGCTTGATTGTAACTCCTCACTCCTTGAAGTTTGATTTCCTAGTTTAAAATTGAATTTCCAGAAGCATTAATTTTAGGCATCGACAAGAATGAGAAAACTACAGTGCCCAGTTATATTTCACATCGTTTGACTTTAGATCGCTACTCATCACTGATTTACTGTTCTATGTAAACTTTCGGTGCGAGATAGCTTAATAGCTGAAGCGCTAGTAAACATTTGGCCACTAAACTAACTAACTAACTATGTAAACGAATTTCTTAATGGGCTTAGTTATATCTATACGATATTTTGAGATATATACGATACAAATACCGTATATATCTATACGATATTTGTCTGCCTTTTATATTCATTTGTTGGAGGAGGTTCAGTTTGCGAACATTGGAGCTTATTTATTTTTATGAATCATTGTGTTAACAAATGTTTTTCATGTGTGTTGTCATATTCAAGGAAAATAATTATTTTTCAATGAGCGTTTTATTCGCATGATTCGCAGGTTAACCATTCGTGAAGGCACTTTTCAGTCCTTTTTTATAATTTAATCGTATTTAAAATTAAAGTTGAAAATTAATTATATAAATTAATGACCTGAAGAAATGACCAGGAATGCAAGTCAATCCGTCTTTTTCAACTCGAGTTTTTTTGTTTGTTGGTCTGATCGGTTGAAATTACATAACTAATTTGGAGTTGTTACTTTGTTTAAATATTTAATGGGTGCACTAGCCAATGAACGTAGCAGCTAATATTGCTATTCAAATTTCAGCTATCTGGATCGCTTAAAAGTTTCCTCAATACCCAATTACGTGACTCAATTTTTCTAACTTGTCTAGGCCTCGTTTTTCATCTTTGTCTTGAAATTTTACCTCTGTGCATCATTAGCGACCTGAAGATAGGCTCGAATAAGTGCAAGTAAAGCCGAAGCTAATTATTGATACCAGATCTAAAACTAATGCTGAACAAATATTATTTTTATGACAAGCTGAGTTATGACAAGCTGAGCGCAAGTGAATCATAATCTATACATACTATTCTATAGTATAGTTGGATCAGCTAGAATTTGGGGTGTCGCCATCGATTAGTTACCGATTAGTTGGGATTCCTAAGTTCCACCGATTCCTAACTTTGTGATTTCGTCCAAAATTCTCACGACTATTGGCAGGTTTCGAAACCCAACAATCTGCTCTAATCATGGTGATCACAACCACTCGGCTCCCTCAAGGTCGAATGGAGTGTCATGATTGCGAAAATTCTGACCCTGGACTCACGACTTCTTGAAATCAATACTCTGCTGTCTTGCGAGTATCAGTTTCAGAACACTTTTTGTGTCCGCAAATATCCATCGTGCAGCAAGACGAGAAGCAATCCTCGTGCGTGTCACACTCGTCGTCTCTCTCAAGGCAGTACTTGAGAGGCACTAGGAAGGCAGTTGCAGGATCCACATAAGGGCAACTGAGGACAGACAAAAACACAATCGACTCTCCGTCTTGTGAGTAAGTAGACTAAATACATCACAATAAATCTATATTTACATAAAAACAATGGCAACGAAGAGGTAATCATAGCAACGATTTTGATAACAAAGAAAAAAGAGAAAGTTACAAGTTCACAATGGCATTTTTGTATGTACGTAATAGCTACTGCTCGATTTTCCAATAACTCACTCATCATCATTGCCATAGGCTGCAGGTGCTGGCGCAGTAACAGCTTTGCTCAAAGTTTTCACGGGAGACAGTAGAATCTGGAGATAAATATAATTGAAAAAAAAAGTATTTCCAGACAATATACAAACTATGTGGTTTCAGTTTAAGTCATTCTGTCGTGTAAAAATTAATAAAAAATATTAAAATATCTACCACTGAGAAGTGTAAAAAAATGTGTATTTACTTCATTAATTTCTAGAAAAATACATAAACATTATTTTTAATCGATTTACATACCATATTTGAAAGAAATGCTTGTAAATCAATTACCATGACATGCACATGATTAACTGCATAAGAATTGAAGATGCCAGGAGTTACTATGTAATCATTCGATTAAAATTATATTGTCTAATTTGACGAGACTTTCATTAAAGCAAAAATGATAAATGTTTTTTTTACACCATTGCTCTCGCGAAAGGATTAGAAGGCAAACAGTACGCTACGCTATCCTCTTAAATTCTTCCGGTACTAAACCGCTTCAAAAATTATACCAATCAAATGATAACTTCCTAAACTTGATTTAAGTAAGCATCTTCATTGGACATCAATAACACATCATGTTGATTATGCAATACCTTGCATACTCTTACAATGAAAAATTGAACTTACAATGCAAGTTATGACAGGCAGCTGAGTGGTCTTCATTGTTGTTGGCATAGAGACATATGAAGAACTCTGAAATCTGGTTTAACCGAAGAAGAGATTTCTAATCAAATTAAAACCCGTTCTGGTTCAATTCCTTGTGATTTGATTTTCTATAGAAATTTCCTTGTATTGTAGTTACTTAAATTACAAGAATTGAAAAAATTAAAATTAAATAAAAATGTATTGTAATTACTTAAATTAAATGGATTATTTTTGGAATTTAAAATATTCCATCGATGGGGTGAAAAATGCTTTGCAGCGAAATTCAATTTAATAACTTTTTATGAGAAGTAGACAGTGCGGCAAGACGATGCTTAAACCGTAATTTTAATATGTTAAATCTCGCAAATTTACTCTCATGACATTAAATAAGGTTGATGGGTATTTAAAAGATTTAAAAATCGAACAGTTTACTAATCAATCCCATTTAGTGCCAGATAGATCGTTCCTGTATTGTGGATGAACTTGAATGAAGCCTATTATGAAGGCCGGTTCGTAATTCATTGGTTTCATTTCATTAACAACATACACATCCAAGTCGTTTATGGGACATGTCGCTTGAACGTACTTTTTCTTTAGAACATTCAGGTCGAGGTACAAATTGTGACGATAACAAAGAGCCCTGCAATAATACCGAATAATACGAATCAATTTAACACATTTTCGTTTACTGGTTTCGAATAATATACGCAAGTGGAGAGTTTGAGCTCACTCACTTGTAGAGAAGACCGGTGTCTGTGACGGCCAAGTTAGACTGAATGCTCTGAATTGACAAAAAATCTCGTCGGATCCTCGTACACAACTGTTACTTCAGGTCTCGGCAATGAATGGCCAGTGCATCTGTCTGAAGAACACCTGCTTACTTGAAGAATGTTGACACTTGTGACTGGTCAAGTGTTTATAGGAACGAGATTTGCGTTTCAGCGTTCACGAAAATATTCCTTTGCAAACAGCTTCACCAAAAAGAATCAATTTGAATAATAATATTATTTATTCTGAGGACTAAGTTCTTGTGGTCTGGCATTTGGGCGTTAGGTGGTGAAATAAATTTAGCGCTTTTGCCACTGAAGTTTCAAACATTTACTTTGAGGTTTGGACTGCGTATATAACCCATATGCGCGTATATAACCCATACGATTACACGTGTTTTATAGCGCATTTTCTCATTTATGAAAAAAATGCACTATTGTGCTCGCCATGTCTGTCTGTCTGTCTGTCCGTCCGTCCGTGACCTCAAGTTTTCGTCGACGAGAAAATGCGCTCTCTGTCACTCACTGCAGTGAGTACTGAGTTATGTTGTTTATTAACGCATTCGTCTTTTACGCTTAATTAGAATAATAAATTTAATCTAATAAATTTCAAAACTTCACGTGTTAAAACTGGGAATAAAAAAATTATCGCAAATATATATTGCTTTTATTCAATGATTTCGAACACTTTCTTCGAAATGTGTTGTTGAATTCATTCAAGGTTAATATGACATGCAACAGCATTAGTCGAAACGAAACAACGTCTTCAGTTGGAACAATCCTCAGGCTGAATAAAAGCATAAAATTATAAAATTCGATGTTCAAAAACATAACTTGCAAATACTAGTACATTTGCCTTATTAAGCAATGCACAATCTAACATTGAATACTTTTTGAGTGGCACAAATATCGCAGCAGCACGAATGCTCGCATCAAATCCATGGTTATATATGGCCTCTTGAAGTAAACAATGAATGGGAACGAAAATGGCTGAGTGAGATTTCTAAATCTTTCATCCGATATGTCAGCAATAATTTTGCCAGAATAAGCGTCCGGATCGTAATCAGCTTCTGGTGACGGAGGCCTTTAAAATGATCCAAGTCCATTAATTATGGTGACGGGGGCTTTTTTTTTGATCGATCCAAGTCCATCAATTACGCTGTCAGTTCACTAAATCACTTCCGTAGAAGTAATAAATGCTTGCAAAATTTTACTACTTAACATGTTTGCAAAACCGACCGAAGCTCCAACTCGTTCGTAACTAATTATTGTAATACTATATATAGGGTTTTACCACTTCATCAGAAATTTATCTTTATCAATTTAAGACTCGACAAGTTTATTTAAATATACGGAAGATTTTGATTATGGTAAAATTGCAATGGTCGGATTTTGGAAGGAACGGAAACTTGCTTGTTTTTTTTTGCATTTATAGTGATCTTTCGCACATCATGAAATTTGTGTGAACAATACGTGCATATTCTTTTCATTCTGGATGAATTTACTTTCCTAATTGTGAATATTTTCAGTTCGATTCATCGGAACTGACTACTTAGTCCGTTCTACTAAGGAACATTCTACTTAGCTAGAAAATTATCGTCTGTGTGATCAATTCCTCGACTCTGTAGCTTGAGCTCAAGCGCAGCCCACTTCTCCCTGATTGCCTGAATTTACTTTCCTAATTGTGAAGATTTTCAGTTCGATTCATCGGAATCTTGCTGTTTAGCTATACAATTATCGTCCGTATGATCAATTCCTCGACTCTGTAGCTTGAGCTCCAGCACCGCGCATTTCTCCCTGAGCGCCTCCAGGTCTTCTTTGAGGCGCTTGTGATCCCGCAGCTGCAACTCCAGCGACCGCCGCTTCTGCCGCTCCAGCTGGAACTTGCGCTCGTCCGCTAGCCGCACGGCTGCGCTCAAATCTGATGATTGCATGCAAGTATATTATACTATGTTTATTAAACGTAAACAATTTATCGACAGAATTTCTGCCTCTAATTTTATCACCAAGAGAAAACTAGAAGGAAAAAGTTCTATTTCGTTGTTTCGTTTTGCCATTTTGGATTTTCATATACTTATAATTGATAATTTAATCTTCCATTAGCAAACAATTTTATCACAATTAGCGTGAGCAATTTTGAAGCGTAATTTGCATGGTCTCATCAAAGATGTTACTTTGATCATATTAGAGAAATCATATCAGGGGAATATAAAGAGTGAAATAGAGTAGAAACAAATTCCGCGAGAGTGTATGATCACGCGGTGAGGGCTCACTGTTGAGAACCCTGACGACCCTCCACAGCCTGAGTGTGATGAGCAGACCGGCGGCCTGCGTAGCGCCGCGGTGATGGTATGAGAAGCTCTCGAGCGCCGTAGCTGCCACCACCACCACCCCATCTAGAAGCTCTGCCTATACAGGAATGTGTGGCTCAAGAATTTATTGAATAGTTCATAAGGCATTCATAAGCATAACTAGATTTAATTATTAATCGTTAGGAAGTGCACGATTATACACCTCAAAGTACACTGTTAGAAGAGGCTCTTGATGATAATTTGTTTATATTATTTTGTGTATTGCACTTGCTCTTACCCAAGACTTGATTATTTCCAAGGGAGTAACACAGATCTTGAAAATCAGTTCAGCGAGGAATATGGCCAGTAGAGAAAGAGACGCTATGTGCAGACCAGAAATAATTGCTTGATGGCCTTCTTCTGCCTCCAATGCCAGCTCTGCCACCACCAAGCACGCTTCTACCACCACCAGGGATATCAACACCACCTGATGAAATATGACAGGGTTAATAAAGCTCTCAAGTACTAAGTACTTTATCAACCCTAATTGGAGAATTAAGACTTTTAAACTCATATTAGTTGCGCACTTTATTACTAAAATTTGGATTCACTGTTGAGTACAAGAATCGGCGACAAAGTACAATAATCGGCGACAGGTCTATCCAGGCCTATTCTTCAATGCCGAAGATACTATACTATACTACTATACTATTCGGTCTAAGATCGGTTTTGCAGCAGATTTTCAACGAACATTCAAATTTTCTTCATAAAACATTGAAAAAAATTACAATGGTATCAATTTAAGAGTGAAATCCCCCATATATGGCACCGAAATATATTATTTTATTTCAGTCAATTAATCTTCATAGAGCAAAATATTTGTAAATCCGTAATTTTTGAGCCAGTCCATGGAATTGATGCAGTTTTTCTCGAAGTCAAAATTTCATCTATCCAATTCGTTTGCTTGCTATTCATACTATAGTATTTATTCAACAGCATGTGAGAGACAAATCTGCTATTTCAATGGTGGTAAGAAATAAATGGAAGCGTTTTATTAGGTCACACAGTCACCTGGTATGGAGTTGAATGAATGAGTAGCCGGAGACGTTGTTTAAAGTTTGGTTTAGAGGTCACAAGATTCATTGTAACGTCAAGTTTGATGTTTCCATCGCTTTCTTGCGCTTCTTCTGAGGCGTTTTCGTTGAAAATAACTTGCATTGTGATTTGTTTGATACAATTTATATTTCAGTGCATTGCATGTATGTATTTATCATCTCTTTGAAAAATAGATAAGCTAACTTGAAACTTCAATTAGGGCAACAATGAAAAATGTTTAGTTCTTTTCCATTGTTTTCGAGAAAAGACTCGATGATTCGTATTTATTTTATTTCTCGGCGACTTACATGATTGTGTTCTTAATTATATACTATTTTACTCTTTTGATACCATGCCTAGCTAACCAATAATAGGAATCATTAAGAACTAGTTACACGTTGTTATTATGTCCCAGCATCATATAGAACTTAATTAACGTAGTATTAACTACCTATTATTAAAAGGAGCAAAATATAATTAAAGAACGAATCAAGCCTACTGACACCACAATGGGAACTCGATGGCATTGAAAATCTAACTTGACTTTAATATCAAATTCAAATCTTAAGGTTGGTTCATGCATAATAAATTGTACTACTTCACTGGATTTATTGACAAATATCTCGGGTAACGAAACATTTCAAATTATCCTTTCCTGAAACTTTACACCAATAATGTATAGTAATATCAATACCAAAAACACATGAAAATGGTTTCCAGATGGCAGATAAAAGTTTCAAATGATTAACAAGAGAACACCAGCCCTCCCCGACGCTGGCAAGTGACTTGGTTTATGGCGAGCAGCAGCGCGACTGGCCACGTACGCCCTTCGTGCGAGTGCACTGAACGATACTCGATCCTTGTAACTGAGTTACTGCTCTATTATTGTACTCATTTTAACTTGTTTTATTGTGCACTTAATTGTTTAATGATCAACGTCGGTCTTTTACTTAATTTTAATTTGAACTCTTTTATTGTGCACTTAATTGTTTAATGATCGACGTCGGGCTTTTACTCAATTTTCATTTGAACTCGTTTATTGTGCACTCAATTGTTTAATGATCGACGTCGGGCTTTTACTCAATTTTCATTTTAACTTGTTTCATTGTGCACTTAGTTGTTTAATGATCGACGTCGGTCTTTTACTCAATTTATGCTGTTTTTTTCTGAAAAATAATTTTGTTCTCATTTTAACTCGTTTTATTGTGCAATCATTTGTGTAATAATCGGCGTCACTCATTTGCTCGATTTCTGCTGTTTATTCTGAAAATAATTTTAGTTTGTACAATGTTTGGCATTGTACACTAGTTAGAATTTTATGATGAGTGGGATAAGATAATTTCTTGTTGTTACTTCGCTATTTACATACACTCTTACCCTCATGATGAATTCGGGTCTCTTCTATCTTCAACAAACTGTTCAAATTTCACAAAATTCTATTGACTTTCAATGATATATGTTATCAGTACAATAAAATACTCGCTTTATCACTGGGTATAAATTAAAGAAAAGGCACGTAGAACAATGTTGTCTTGTCATCAAAGAATAATTGTAGTATATTTGAAATATTTCAAAACCAATTGCATCCTATTGGATGTAATTGATCACTACCAGCAACCGGGTATGTAGGCGTGAAGTTGATAGTCAGCAAACAATGATCTTTACCTTTTAAATTTATTTATTTTCCATTCATTTTTCAATTCCCTTATCGATGTTTGCGTTAGTATTCAGTGAGATGATTTTGTCAGTGTGTTATATTATATAATAATACATACATTAAATAATAATGCTTTCATTCGCACTTATTTGCAAACCATCACATCTTTAAGCACACCGAACTGCATTAAGGTCCCGGTATAAATATTTGTTTTGGGGTAATATGTTTTGTATTGGGATAACAAACTTAGCTTATTACCTGAATTATGCGGTGCTCCCAATATACGCTAAGAGGCAATGTTTGCGTAATTTGTTAAGTATAAGCAGATTTTTCTACCTCAAAAGTATGTGTGAACATTCAGCAACGCGCATGCACGATTGTCTTCTTAAAGCGACGAATTTCAGGATAGTTTTATTATAAAGACAGAGAGAGAAAACGTACCCGAAGGTATTAGAGTTATACAATACAATTTTTAACAAAGTGTCCAGGATATTCCGCTAAGCTCAAACTTTTCTTGGTTCAAGTCGATATAGTGACAATTTTTGGTGGGAAAACCGCAACCGATCCATGAAAAACTGGACTTTTCTGAAAGCTAACTGCTCCGTATGATTTGTTTAATATCGTCTGACTAGAGGCAGTTGTACGTGTCATTAAAATTTATTAAATGAAAATATTGATGTTTCAAGTACAAGTGAGAAGTAATAAAACTGACCGTAAACTTGAAGAGAATAGAGCAATAGCATCTGATTCAATCTAATTTGACTGAGACCAAGATAGTCGACGGAGAAAGTGATGGATGAATTGCTTTGAAAATACTGTATGCATGGCATTCCACTACCTAGCGTTATCTTATTCAGTAACGAATTACACACCAGAATTTGTTTAGAACTGATCAAACCATCATGTATGAATGGATCCCCGATTGAACTATGCAAAAATTTGTTGTCTAAAAGATCCGGACGATCACCGTAGAGTTTAAGTAACCTCTAAGCTCCTCAGTTTTGCGTGGTTTGATGAAACTTTGATCCCACGTTCTAGGAATTAATATTTATTTATCAGTTGAAGCTATTGATATTTTGCGGCCCATTCAGAACAAAGAAATATTCTTTAGGGCCCCTTAAATAATTTAACAACGAAAAAATGTGAAAATTTGTGAAACCTAGCATTATATATAAGGGGTATTATGAGCTTTAGAGATCCATGCATAGCTGTGCACCTATTTAATCTACTGCCCTATTATAAGTGTTTGGACGTTCCTATTTTCGATTTTCAATGCGTTACTATTTACCATTCTTGCATTCAAATATATAAAAATAGGCATAATTGTATAATAATTGCATTCAATAATAGGTAGTGAAACAGAAAATATTGACAAGTGGTGCAGAGATCTCGGTATAGGCTCGATTTGGGCTCCTCGGGGCATCAATTACCCTACATAAGCTCTTTTGGGAGAGCGTATTTAAGTTTAGTCGCACCTAGCTGGTCGTGTCTATTAACCTTATGATGGGGCCAATTAATATAATCTGTTTGCAGAATATAGAAAGATATCGTCGGTATATGACCGAAGAGCTGACGAGGTCAGCAATCACCTAGCTGAGCTGACTAACAGTTGGATTGGTAAGCCATCGTCTGCATGATCGAACAACTGGGGACCGTGAGCCACCATGGATGACCCTAGATTCTAGAAGCATAAAGGTCGCTGTCAACTTCAGTCGGCCGCGCGCTGTCATGCTGTAAGGTTGTGTGTGGGTAGGCAATGTAAGACTCAGTGCCAGTGAAGGTGTTCATAGCGTTCATCTTCTCATTTGTTTCAAGGGTAGGAAAGCTGCAGAGTTTGATGGAGTGAACCGAAAGTTGGGGAAGCCTTTAACTGAATAATTTTATTCTAAACATAATGAGCCTTTGAGTTAATGGGAGTAATTTAGATTCGGCTTGAATAAGCTTTTTTTGGCCTCTAGTGATTCCGTCTTTTCAAATAAGCTTCGAATTTTTAACTTGAGTTTCCTTCATAATCGAATCAATTGATTCTAAATTTTATACCCTTTCACTGCACGGCAACCGGTATTTTGAAGTGAATTCAGCACTGCAGGCTGCAATTGCACCGGATATGGAAGGTTCAAATGAAAATTTATTATTCATAAATGCCTGAATTTCCGTAAATAAATTCAGGCATTTATGCATAAGAAACTTTTATTGGAACCTTTCACTTCTATTCCGTGCAATTGCAGCCTGCAGTGCTGAATTCACTTCAAAATACCGGTTGCCGTGCAGTTAAAGGGTATAAATATTAAAATCAATTGATTCGATTATGAATGAAAATCAAGTTAATAATTCGTAGTTTATTTGAAACGACGGAATCATTAGAGACCAAAAGAAAGCTTATCGGTAAATAAATAAAACCAATAAGTTTACAGATAATTTTGAAGTCATCACATGTAATTACCCATAACGGGTTTCTCGTATGAAAACCTACTTCATCGATAATTATCACGAAATTAAATTAACATGCATCGCGGAATCTAACTATACTTAAATTCATTTGACTGTAGATGAGCATCAGCATCATCAGCATCAAAGAGTATATAATTACTCAGAAGCATTAAAATAATTATCAAATCAATGAACATGACCATCCTTTACCCACTGACCTAAATTGCATAGTTCAATAATTTAAACAATTTTGAATAGAAAATGAGAGGCAGACATCCGGACAAATACTGTGATTTACATTACCAACTCCATCAGAATTGTAATATGACTCAAATTTCAATTTTATTGCGGGAGTGAGCTTGCCAAATTGCGTAGATAATAATCAATTCTTTGAAATCCTATCGTAATTTTTGCAACCGAATGATGCTGAGAAAAAAATAGTCTATTTTAAATTAGAAAATATTTTTGAAGTGTTGATGGGCTGTGAATATTCTGTTTAATAATTAACGAATATTATTAATTGCGATAAAGGAAACCATGGAGCATGTGATATGAAGAGTTAGTATAACCATGTTTTCAAGACGGAAAATATTTGTAACGATGAGCGAAGGTTTTCTCATCTCAAGTACAAGACTATATGCTGGAAACATCTGTTCACAATCATTAGGAGCGGAATCTCATGAGTGAGAGTTGAATTGAGGAACTGACTTTTTAGACTGAATTAGCGCAAATGTTATTTTATAGATGAATAGCGTGACCATAAAATTTGTAGTCATGAAACGCGTGGCCATTAATTTTCACATGTATTTATAATTTTTTAGCTTATTCCTTGTATAATTATAATTCATCAAAACTTGGTGTCTTGCAAAGATTTTCTTCTTCTAGAACCCCCTAAAAGTGCCTTTGTTGAAAGAAATAGCTGTTAATATATTTGCTTCGATGTTTTAAAGGCAAAAATCCATCAGTATAATGCCTAGTATTTTGTTCTAATATGATTAAAAGAATTTGTTTCATTTTTCAATTAAAATTTTGAGTGATGAGCATTTATTTAATTAGTAAGCACCAAATGAACAAAATTTACTGTTACTGGATGATCCAGTTTATATTCATTAAGAATATTGCATGCATTTTTTTTAACTATTTCATAATTTAACTACCTATTTCTATAATAAAAGCCTTTGTTATACAAGCGGCAAACCACATATTTCGAACATGAATTAATATCAGACAAATAATTTCTCCATATTTAAATTTTTCGCTTTGATGTATTGAAAACTGGAAAATATTTATTGGTTCATAATTTTTATTTTTTTTTTCTAGACTCACACCGACAACCATTAACAGTGACAACAAATTATAGATAATTCCTACTAAATGGAAAACAATTTTCAAAAAATAACAGAGCTTGAAACTATTGCTTTTAAACAAATAAATATGAAGTATCCTCATGTCAAAATGGGTAATCGGTTATCCGCTTGAACTGAATAATAAGAGGAATGTATATCGTACTGCGCCGACCCACTTCTGAAGACACTTGTCGAGGTCCCACAAGGATTGTACTCAAGTGCAAATCATCAACGGATTACTGGCCACACGTTTATAATTTTTATGTGGCCACCAATAAGACGCCCAATATTCTTCTCAGGGAAGTTTAGAGCGTTTTAATCACTAGGGCAAGATATTTGCTTTAATCGAATGGCTTCGAATGTTCAATTTGATGACATGAAGCATTCGCTCAAAAAACACTGTTTTTCTCTCTATATAATCCTTCCTTGTGTTCAATGAAACTGCAATAAAATATCATTTGGTGAAAGTCGGCTTGCAGGGTTATAATTCGAAATAAAAACTGACAGAATTTAGAGTCTTCGTCAAATTATTTTTTAGGGAATTGAAAATTTTTACAGCTTAAATCATGTGATCGATATATGAATTTAAATAGAATTATACTCTATGGGAAGTTTTTTCAGATGCGGATCACATTAGGATTGTTGACTTCTAAAAGTGCACGATAGATAATTTTCTGAAAGTAACTCATCCATTCTTTCCAGAATAGGATTTTGTAGAATGTCTATAAATTTGATTCTATTCGAATAAATGCTTCGAGGCGGAATTCAAGCATGCGTTCTTATCGCTACAAGATACCGGTTCATGGTTAATTAATGGTGTTGATATATGCCTGGACCTTTTGAACTGAAAGAGAAGCGGGAACATATTTTAAAGCATTCATGCCTGTAAAAACACAGACGCGTTTCTCAATAATCGCAACCTAAATATTTCTCCCGAACCTTACACCTGGCATCGCAGCATGCGGCGTCCAGCAGCGCTTCTCTTTGCTGTCACATTCTGCTTACAAATCCTAAAAGGTGAGTTAGCGAATAATAATTTTTATATAGTCGCTGTTTCAACAGCGACTTGTAAGGATAGTTATGGTCTACACCTTGAATGAGATTTTGTGAGTTTAATATGGTTTTTTAGTCACGTTTTCTTTTGAAAAATATGAAATTCGTCGTTAGCATAATTTATTCACCCGTGATAAAAAATCCCTAACGAACATCATAAGTTTGCGATAATTTCTGGAGTAAATCTTTAGAAGATGAGAAGCTGAGGAGTGAGAACTCGTCACTTTCTACAGGGACATTACTGAGGGGTCACATTTAAGGAAAAAAATTATGAGGAATCATGTTCAGAACACAAACGATAAGGAGTCACGTCAAGAACAAGATTTAGGAGTAGTATCGTTAGGGAAAAGAATCGTAAGGAAACATGTCATGAATACGAACTATAACGTTACAGAGATTAATTATGAGGGGTCTGGTTGAGAATAAGAATTAAGATGGGTCGAGTTATGAAGAACCAATTATGAGAAATCGCGCCAAGAACAACAATTCTAATTTCACAGTATTTTAAAGGGATAAAGGTATAATTTTAGCAATTAGTACTGAATAATTAAACACAGGCTTTTCTCCAACTGCAAAATATAAAACAAATTATGGTCGTGCGTATTTATAACTAAAAGATATTAATTTTGTTAAGCTGATATTGAATGGTGGTAGAAATCAAGTCTGGTCTTGCAGCTCAAACACGATTTTCAGTTAGCATGCAATTCTCTGCCACCGCCTTAGTCGCAGTGATTGGAGAATCAACTGAAGTGCCTCCTTATATTTATTTCAATGGAAGTGAAGGGGATGGAAACAAACAAAGAAAGCTATCCAATGTATAGGACATTCAAATGCCACTGCAACGTCGGTCCCGAGGTCACTTTGATAAACCTAGAATTATTTGGAATTATTATTCAACCGAGTAAAATGAGTCATTTGTTTGAATATAAAAAATTTAACTTATTGATGACAATTTTTAGCGCATTTTCTCATTTATGGAAAAAATGCACTATTGTGCTCGCCATGTCCGTCCGTCCGTCTGTCCGTCTGTGACTTCATGTTTTCATCGACGAGAAAATGCGCTCTCTGTCACTCACTGCAGTGAGTACTGAGTTATATTTTTTGTATTTACGGAACTGCAATGCAGCAAGTATTGCGATAAAAATTACGTGAATTCTTGGGCTTCAAGATTTATTGCAAATTCACTCTCTTCTAAATGAATTCCAATTAATTACCGAGGATTTTGAATTCTGCTAGAAGTAATCGAAGATTGTGAATAGTTTTAAGAATAATGAAATTGTTTACTTAATTAAATAGTATTGCAGCTGAGACTTAATCACTGCAACTTAATATCAAACTATTCCAACGTGCATATGTCGTTGATCAATTTATTTTCAGCGACCAACTGCTTTCGTTCTGATCGGTTTCTATGAATACTAATGAGATGTTATGACAAACTCACTGGAATGTTGTGACGAACGATTCAACTCAGAGTGCATTGTTACAAGACTTTTACGCTAGCTCATAACTTGAGGTTGATTCCGGTTGCGACCAATGTAATTTTTTGATGAATGTGAATGCATTAATTTAAAAATTAAACATGTTTTCCCCTCTCAAATTTGACATGTCACCGCTCATATTTATCTTCATATTCATAGTCTACCTGTCTGTTATGTCTATCGTGCACATAAGGCTTGGGAGCTCAAAATAATAAATAAAATGTCGACAAACAACAGGAAGGGTGGCAGTTACGGTACCTGAGATCGATCTGCTGCCTGAGCTGGCTTTGAGTGACACAGCAGAGCCATCTCTAATCTGGCCCCGCGCTGGGATGGAGTGGCTCGATCATCTCTGTTTGAAATCGCTCATTTGTGATGTGAATATGGAGAAATTGCCTTAATTTTTGCACTTCAAGGAAAAAATACTGTTGCAGCAAATTTAGAATTTATCAGCTTCAATCGGGCATTAAACATTGGTACAACTTTTTTTGCAGTCGCCGTTTGAATGTATTAGTAAATTTGGTATCCAGTGTACTAAACTCTGTCCTAAACTTGGTTTTTCTTATGCGTCTGCACTAATTGATTAGTTTGGTGGCGGCGCAAGCTTTTCATATCATGACCAGAGATCAAACTAATATATTTCATTGGTGTTCTGATAATGGAAGCACTTGGTATGTACTATGTTTTATCCTTATATGTTTCTACAATGTATTTTTTGTCGTTTATTTAAAAAAAAAGCACAAGATAAGCACTCGCTTGTTTGATGCTCTGCGGCTATAGTGCGTCTCACAATATGACTGGCAAGCTACAAATATGTATTATATACAAGGATGTCTTTTTCCTCTGCTAATAATAACGAATAGAATAATTTTCTCTAAACTTTGTGATAGTTAGAATGACAGCAATTATGTTTTAAAATTATCTCACGCTTTGTAACAAAAAAGATGACAAGTTACTCCCAATATCAAGCTTATATATTTCAATCTCGAAGAGTTACTTCTCAAATTCTCAATTAATGTTAAGCATCAATGCAGAGCTGCTATCTTGTCAACATTTTCTCAATTAGACTGCAGTAATAAGCGCCATTAAAATTTATGTTGCAGTTGTGTCCCTAACGATAAAAGTTTATTAAATTTGGTATGCAGATGTCGTAGGTTTATTGCAAAACTTGGCGTGACAGAGCACGGCTTTAGGAGCTGCATGGCGGCGCCTAGGCTGTAAGCAAACCAAACAAGGCTCGCGTAGAGTGAAAATATTCATAAGCAAACACTATCCTCGAAACAAATAAATAAAATTGTAATTATATCACGTTCTTCTTAAAACCAAAGCCTCTTTAAATGCATAATTTTTCATTTGAGTATGCAAGTAAAATGTTTGAAAATGCAAATTCAATATCTATATGTTGATAGAAATTATAGCACGTAAACCGGCGCTTCAATAAAATAAATGAAGTTCAAGTTGAAAATTAGTAATTTTCGCGGAAAGCAATTGATTCAGACCCTTTTCGTGTAAGAACCCGAATAATTGAAGTCAAACGGTAATATGAGGGCAGAAGCTTAACTCAACTAGAAAATTAAACCGCTGTATGCTTTTCAATATTTCGGTAATATCACGAGAAATTTCAAACTTGAAAATCTCGTGGAATTTAAAAACTCGTCGATAACGGAGCTGGTAGTGAGTGATTCCAGGTTACTTGAAACGTTGTATAATTTGTTACGCAATATAATGTTACGGAAAATAATTATGTGAAGATTACGAACACATGCCCATTTTACTCATGAGGTTTCTAAAGTTTCCATCGAACAATTCAGTAAAAATAAATCCACGGGTGTACCTGAAGACGACTGTCACCGCTGGTCGGAGCATGTCTGTGACAGGAGAGTTGCTGTCGAAGCAGCGGAGCCCCGTTTTTCCGAGGCTGATGGGAGATTTACCTCAGTAATCCTCTGAAGCCTCAGTGTAGAAGCTTCAATTTATTAAAACTACCAGAGGGTCCGATTGCTGGCAATTCCCAAACGAGGCGAGTGTTCGCGAACGTTAACTCGACACACGTTGGAGTTACTGCCAGAACTGACTGGCACTTCCTATTTTTTCTCTGCAGTAGCGATGAACTAAAATGGTCTCTCAATGGTCATTGGAGCTTAGCTATATTGCTATGCCTGAGAATTCTCTCTGTTATTTCACAAAACTCATTATTGCATAGTAGGAAAGATAGAAATAACGGGCAAGAGGATTAAGTATTAGGTGGCACTGTGTTGCAAGTTTTATTTTGGATGAAAATTGTTACGTAATGTGTAATTATTGATTGAGAAGTGAAACTAGTGATCAATGATCTCACAAAGTCAGTGCTAATTTTAAATTCTAAAATTTCTGTGCATTTTTTCAATATCAATTATATGAACTTTGTAGTTAATAATTACATAAAAAATCATTGATCATACTTTTCGAATTTCGAGATTCGTTCATTAATATCGAACACAAACAACGCAAAGCATTAGGATATTGTGGGATTTATAACATAAATTTAATGTTTTGTACGGGACTTAACTGAATTTACAAACTATTTCTTACAAACCTAGACCTGCTCAACAGTTAGATTTATATCATTAAATCACAGCATGCAGAGAATGCTCTGTAAATCAGTGTTGACTTTTCCGAAGGATATATTCACTTGCTGCATGAATGACTAACTCTAACTTTAAATAATTAATGGGATTGAACTTTTTTCGAAATAAATTTATGAAGACGGCTATTCATGCATTTGGTTGCCAGTCATCCAATTTTGAGGCTATAGTCGTCAAGTTTTGAGGTTCCAGTCGTTAAATTTTGCGGCTACAGTCGTGAAATTTTGCGGCTACAGTCGTCAAAGTCCACAGTCGTCAAATTTTGCGGCTACAGTCGTTATATTTGGAGGCTACAGGCGTCAAATTTTGCGGCTACAGTCGTCAAATTTTGCGGCTACAGTCGTCAAATTTAGAGGCTACAGAAGTCAATTTTGCAGCTACAGTCGTCAAATTTGGAGGCTACAGTCGTCAAATTTGAAAGCTACAGAAGTCAAATTTAGAGGCTACTGTACAGTCGTAAAATTTGAAGGCTACAGTTGTCAAATTTGGAGGCTACAGTCGTCAAATTTGGAGGCTATAGTCCTCATGAGGCTAATCGTCGTCAGCATCGCAGCCGAGTGACGGAGTTGGTAAACAGCCCCCACATATTGACCTGGAATTTGAGAGGGCCACATCACTCTAGTTTATGGCGCTTGTTCGTCCTGGTTTTTTGTTTCATGTCCTATGGGACCTGTGCCTTCATTGACTTGAAAGCATCGCAGCTGCTGCTGAAAGCAACCTCTTAGAAAATTGGACCAATTTCCTGTTTGGCTCTCAGAACAAGAGATTTTTTTAGTGGAAGAACCTTGCTGCACGTCATTGGCTTTACTGGCATATTGTAGCGGGAAGAATCTTATATATACGTCTTAAACGCTTAAGGTTC